TTAACATTTCAGATATGAACATCAATGTGTTGAGCGTCTTCTGGAATATGTTACAGATATAATGATATAATGTATGAAACTCTTTGCAGATGATGCTTCCCCTGAATGCCTGACGATTTCTGTAAGTAAATGCAAAATCAGCAAAAACCCAACTTACGTTTCCTCTATTTCTATTTGTCTGTCTGTGCTTCTCTATAATGAAAGTCTCGTTTCTGTCTCTTGTTCAGAATCTCCTCTGGGCTGAAGGTGACGACGTATATACAACCATTATTTTTCAAGAAGTTTAGATTAATGATGCCAGTATTTTACCCTCTAAACTGAACATTTGAAATGAATTATTAACTCATGTACATAATTTACCTCACCTTTGATAGGGTAACCAGTATAAATTTAAGGTTTGTTTGTTTATTTGTTTGCTTTTTGGATGGAGTGGGACAAAAGGTGGGTCAGGAGGGGAATGGAGTGGGACAGAACTGTGACATCACTGTCAGATAAAACAGAGCAGCTCTGTGAATGAAGACGTGCTGCATCGTCTGTGTGTGCAGCAGTGCTCAGTTAGCCTAACAGCTAACAGCACTACCTATTACTTCTATCATCATTACAGGATAACTGTCTTGAGGGAAGATTGTATGAAAATACAGTATTTTATAATAGTGATCTGCACCAATCTGACAACGGTGACATTACTGCATCACAGTAAACTGATCAACAAGGAGTGTGTGTGTATATTAGGGGTGTGTGTGTGTGTGTGTGTGTGTGTGTGTGTCTGTGTGTGTGTGTTAAGCATTCATATGAAGTGCAGATCACACTGTTTATTATTAAAATGAAAACTGTGTTTAAAGGCCGAAGGTCCTGATTGGTGTATTAAATGAGAAAAAACAGAAGAGACCAAGAGTAAATATATAAAACACATTTTAATTGAAACAATAAAACAAAGATGACTGAACTTCGTCATATTTTGTTGTAACATTCCGTCTTTCTCTGTTATATTATTTAAATATTCTCACTCTAGTTTCTTCCTGTGGAAGCGAGAATCAGATATACAGCTCTGGTTCTCCCATTCTAATCTTCAAGGGTCTCTCTACCTCTGCACCTTCGTTTTTAACTACACACCTGCAAGCCAGGTTAGGTCTCTGAATTCTGGGCTCTTGATTTGTCCTTCCTTAAAATCTAAACATGCCTGTAAGACTCAGTCTTTCTGCTTTAGTGTCCTTTAGCGCCCCTTAGTGGAACAGCTTCCCATATGAATTCTGGACAGCACGGTCACTCAGTTCTTTCCACTACGGTCAGAAAACTCACCTGTTCAGGCAACACCTAGATTTATACCATATTGCACTCATTCACACTTCACTTCTGACCCACTATGTGATTCCTCTTCAGTCGTCTGTGCTGAACCTCTATGTTTTATCACTATAAACACTAGTTTTTCACTTAATTCAGCAGCCAAGTTAGGACAGAATTTTGTAAAGCTACAGTCAGATTAGGACATTAAGTACTCTAACAGACTTTACTGAACAAGAATTATTCCTAATAGAAAGATTCCACACATATATCCATCCTCCTCATGGCCCCACACTATCACAGGTTGTGAAAGACTCAGAAACTGTCATTGGATCCGACTGCATAGATGGAATAAAGATAGAATTTCAAAAATATCCTGATTAGAATTAAAAATTACAGCCCTGAATTCAGACAAGAGGAAACAAGAGGAAACAGTGAAGAATCACATTCTTTATGATCTGGGAATTCCTTGTGCTTGTATTTCTCTTCAGTCTCTCCACTTAACCTCTATGTTTTATTACATCACTTTAAACAGTGCACTTAACTCAGCAGTTAAGTTAGGACACAATATAGTAAAGGTACGGTGAAGTTTGTACAGGACATTTGTTGGGCTACAGTTGGATTGGGATAGAATTTTGTTGAGCTGCTGTCAAAAATCTGTCCTATAAGATTCAGGCAGCCAGTGCAGTTCTTTCTAAACGGGAGAGATGTGAGAACAAAGTTTACAAAATAAGACAGCAAGATGATGCTGAATGTATGAAGATACATGAGGATAAAAATTTAAATGAAATTGTCTAGATTTGTTATCTGCATCACACGGGTCTAATGATTCGCCACTCACCAGTCAGCTGACCTTCAGAGGGCCTGCCCCTCCCCTTTCCCCTCACAGGAGAGCACAGTTACAGTCTGTTCCTCTTCAGCTTCACAGTAAAAATATCGCCTTTTACTCTTTAACGTCACTGATAGAGGTTTGGGAACTGAAACGATTGTTTTTCCAAATGCTGATCTTTAGCGACCCCCTCTGGCGACTCAGCTCAGTGATTAAAAACTAAATTTTAAACAGGTAGGTAAATAGGCTTTACACTAGACGTTGAACATTGCTGTGAGGATTTGATTGAGCATTAGTGAGGTCAGGTACTGATGTTGAATGGTCAGTTCTGGATCACTCCAACTCATCCCAAAGATATTGGATGGAGCTCCATCACTCCAGAGAATGCAGTTCCAGTTCCCAATGCTGGGGGGCTTTATACCCCTCTAGCCCACGCTTGGCTTTGGGCATGGAGACCTTAGGTTCATGTGCTGCTGCTCCAGCGTGTCTCATTCTACTGGACAGTGCTTTTCTACAGAGATTAAAGCTGTATCAGCAATGAGTGACCTAAACAGATTTGGCAAATACCTCCAACTGTCCAAACTCACTGTCCAAACTCACTAGCCTGACTAGTATGCAGCTTCAGTATTTTCCACAAATCAAGATACATCAAGATTTAGTTCTGAGAAATGGTCCACTTCTAAGAACTAAAATGAGTAACATTTGCTTTACCTCACGGTAAAATAGCATGTTTGGAGGAACTTCTTCAATGGCTCAGCTAAATTTGGCTAACTACAGATTACTGAGAGTTTCAAGTGTCTCAGGGAGGAGCAGCAGCCACACTGACAGCAGATGGCAGTAGCTGGTTAAAAGGAAAGTTGCTCCAGATGTGATACAGATCCAGGAACATCCTACTTGAAGAAATGTTCACTTTGAGAAGCCTGTTTACTCAGAAAGCTAACTCATTAGCCTAAGTAGCATGCTCCCTAGCAGGCTAGCTCTTGTTAGCTCTGCTAGGGACTCCACTGCCACTCTCAGTGGGTTAGACAGGAAGTCCAACAGACCTCATTTAAATAAATATAAACGAGCCTCTTCAACATTAAAACCACAAATGACCACATCAAAGATAAAAATAATTTAAATTATATTTACTAGACTGTTTATCTGCGCCATGTAGCACTTCTGATTGGCTGCTTGCCACTCAGCTGACCTCCAGAGGCCCCGCCCCTTCTTTTCCCCTCACTACCTTTACCTGTGCACAGGTGAAAAATTTCACTGCTGATTGTCGATCAGAGTTTTCTGGTTTTGATCTCAGCCTGGTGGTTTGTTTTTTCATATGAATTGCTCTGTGATTACTGAGTCTGCATGTGCTTCAATAATAATAATAATAATCATGAACTTTATTTGTATTGCATTTTTTAAATGATACAGGAAGATAAACAAAGCATTTCAAAGCTAAACCAGTACAGTTCAAATTAAGAAACAGAAATTATAGAAGAGAAAATGAGCCTCAGTGCTGCAGGTGCATGTTAGCTTGAACAAATATGTTTTTAATTGTGATCAGGCTCGTACTGCAAATACTTTCTGGAAAACTATACAATAAAATGATCTTCCACCCACTGAGCTGTGAGTAGATTTGCCACCTCAGCCCTGTAAACTCCAGGACTCCTAATCAGTGGCTTGATTTGTACTAAATTTAGCGGAGAGGTAGCTCTGCTCACAATGTAGTCTAAGGTAGACAGACATCAGTTCATCTACAGGACCTGATCTTATTTAGCTATTTGATTGTAGTGCTGCTTAAAAACGTTACCAGCAGTGCACCTTTCCCAAACAGGTGTCTCTACATTGAGGTTAATCTGAACTAATCAATCCCACTGTTTGTATAAAAACTGACTGGAAAAAAAGGAGCAGTTTAAACTTCATAAGAAACACTAACATATGAAAATGCTTGATCTGTGGACATTAATTCATTTTGTGGACAGTTAACCAAATACCTGGACAGTCCAGGCTTATTGAATGCTAGCAACCCTAGAAGTAAGCCTGTCTCAGCTGAACGAAGCATATAATGATGTTCAACAGACACAGTCCTTACACCACTGAGGGCTTTAAATGTCCTAAACAAGAACTCCTTGTGAATTAATGACATTTTTTTTATTTGAACCTAATTTACTCCACCTGTTAGTGAGCTCTCCCCATCACATGATGCTACTAAACTGGGAAGATGATGGCTAAGGTGTACTCTAAAACATGTAAGTGCCACCAAATCTTTTCAATCTGCCACTAACATGACATCCCTGGACAGCTCAACACGCTTGGAGGAGAACTCTAACTGCTTGTGTTTACTGCTCTTGGACTCCCAACCATGAATAGCTGTGGCATCGCCGGGGATCAAGCTTTCAATCTCCTGACGACAGCGCTAGCACTAAGATGGCTGTGCTACTCTCTGATAAGCATTATAAACAACATCCAACTGCCTGCTACAGAAAACATTAGAGAACCAGACTTTGGTACTGCATAGATGGAGAATGGACAGAAAGTCAAAAATAACCAGATGCAAATTCACGACAACAGGCCTGAATTCAGAAGCAAAGGGAGAAAAAATGCAAAGACATCGACTTGGACACTTCTATGAGACACATGACCACTGAGGACACCACACCATTTGAAACCCACAGATGCTGAATCCCCAGAAAAGAAACTATATTTATAATTGTTCTAATTTACAGTTACATCATCTGCCAGTGAACCAATGTCTGCCTGGCTCACTGGGTTTTTTCATCTCAGTGGTTTGTGTTTGTTTGCGCCTTCAGTCTGATGTTGGTAGAGTCTGACCATGCTCGGACAGAAACCTCCTCTTTGCATGCCTCATAGCAGGAAATATGAGACTGATGTTCCTCTAACTGCAGCATGACTCGCGTATCTCTGTCTTTCAGAATGTCTGCGAGGCTCTTAGTCTGTCTGATTGTTTGTGTTGGTGAATCTACAGGCTCCGGTGGTGAGTTAATAAATGACTGTCATTTGATGGGATAGAGTGAGTGAAAAGGAGAGCAGTATTTACTTCAGTACATTTGTTTCTGTCTCTCTTTAGGAGCAGTTACTCAAATTGCTCCAGGGGATGATGTTTCTTTAAGCTGCCCCTCCAGCACTGGACAGGATCGTTGGGAAGGACCTCAATCCAGCAACACAATGAGAGTCAATTTAAACAGGACAGAATATCTACTTATAAAAAACTTTCAAGTTCAGAATAAGGGAGAGTATGTCTGCCACAATAACCATACAAAATTTGAACTGAAAGATGGTAAACAGTTATATAGCTATGTACATATTTACATAATAATAATAATAATAATAATAATAATGCCTGCAAAATACTTTGTATGTTTATTTCAGCATCATCAAATGACGAGTCGGTTTTGTTTCGAACCAGTGAGGGAGATTCACTCTTCCTCTTCTGCAAAAATCTGCTCTCTACACCCTTAAGGGCTGCCTGGTTCTGGAGACCCCACCATTCAGATAAAACTCTCACCCTTGGACTGAACTCTACTCACTTTGGGAAACGGCTCCATTTCAGAAATAAGGACAATGACTTTTCTTTAAACATCTCAAGTATAAACTGGGGCGACTCTGGGAGATACGAATGTCAACGTTCATCTCAACACAAGACTTTCTTTGAACTTGTGGTGGTGAGAGGTACCTAACCGTCCTTTCTGTTTAACCTTATTGCTGATTGCTCAAACAGGTCAGTGCTGACGTTACACACTAAACTGAACTGAAATGTCTCTCTCTGCTCCACAGTTCATGCCGACCCTCAGCAGCTAACTGAGGGGGACGACGTCACGTTACAGTGTAATGTTTCTCATCACCTGCCGAACACACGACTGTACTGGATCAACATGGAAACCCAAGAGAACTTTCCAAACCCACATCAGCTGAGGAGAGTTACTATGGGTCAGGGAACCTGGACGTGTGCTGTGTTTAATGACTCCAAACTAAAAGCACTTTTTCCATTAACTCTCAACATTAACCAGCACCTCACCACCACGACGAGATCAACTCCAGCTCCTCACTATGACAACATGGGTGAGTTTAAAACTGCTACAGACTATAAGAAAAGACCTTAAAGGTCACCCGATTACAACAGACACTGACCGAGTATACAAAGTGACTTTAATGACCATATTCACTGTGAAATCTGCAAAGACATCATTTATGTAACCCCTCTGCATTCTCTGACAGGTCCTGGTCTTCCTCCTAAAGATTTCACCTTGATCAGTGTCTGCACTGTGTTCTCCTTCCTCCTCCTAGTCCTGATTGGTGCTGTATGCTGGAGAAAAAAGGCTAAAAGTATGGAAAAATTATTATCATTATCAAATTTATCAAACATATACCTTTACATACAACATCTTCAGTATCTCACTTTTTTAAAATGGTTTAAATATTAAATGAATATGACAGTATCACAAAATTCACTACAGCATTTAGCAGAAGCTCTTATACAGAGCGACTTACAAAAGTGCTTTGTTGTCCAATCAGAGAATGTATCTTTGACTTGGTGTCTAAAGAGTCAGACATTTCATTAAGTGCCAGATTAGTGTTAATTTTAAATGCTTTTTGAATTGACTGGTCTTTGACGACATTGAGGGAAAGTTTGTTCCACCACCCGGGTTCGTATTCATAAAGCATCTCAGATTAGGAGAGCTGATCTAAGATCTGTTTCTGTCAGTAAGGCTGTCTTATAAGAGAAGAATTTGAACCCAGATCAGCTCTCCACCTTTGAGAAGCTTTATGAATATTAGAGAAGATAGAGAAGAGTCTGGATGCTGGTCTGCTATATGTCTTGAAGGATGGCAGATTGAGCTGTACTTGAAGCTCAAAGACCAAGTTCGGTCCATTTTTAGCTTTGTAGCCAGTAGGGTTTTAAATCTGATGCAGCTACAGGAAGCAGGTGAAAGCATTTTGTGACATCAGTGAGCATGAAGACGAGCTGTACTGCTGCATTCTGGATCAGCTGAGGAGCCTGATGGCCCACAGAGATCAGCCAGGACAGAGCTGCAGTATTCAGGTCATTACTTTTGAACTACTGATGGTAGATGTCTGAATTTTTATTTTGGTTAAGGTGTAACTACAAAAACAGGAAACGTCTGTTGAAAAATGTATAAATTATTGGTGAACTAATTCATGGCAGACTTTGCCAGACATGAGCAATACATGTGATTATTTTTATAAAAAATTACAATAAATGACTTATAATAACTTATTACAGTAAGACATATAGCTAGTTTTAAAAAGTGTACTGTATTACGAGCAATAAATACCAAAATCTGAAAAACCAGATGTACTTCAGTGTGACGATAGGGGTGGCCAAATTTGCTCCAGTGCATTTCTTCTTCAGATTTTCAGTAAGCCATAAATTGGTAGACATGCATGTTTCTATTCGACTGATCTGTATCTGTTTTGGGAGTTAAACATGCATTAAACTATAGAATAATATAAGATTTCAGGCATCTATCATAAATATTTTAAAAGTTATGACTTATCAAAGTTTGCATGCTTTCCAAAAGCACTCATTTTAAGGTAAAACTTTAGGCCACACCCACCATGTCTAAAATTTTGTGTGCTACCTTTTGGGCAAAATTACATTATTTCTTGAAATAAAATCTCTGACTGAGATGATGAGGTTTGTTTGCACTCAGAGCTGTTTATTATGTTTTATTACTGAGGAATGACTTTATTTCCTTACTGTGTTTTCTAATCAGAGAGGATGGAGTCATTTACAAGTGTGAATGACAGCATTACATATGCAGCAGTGAACGTCAGGCAGAAATCAGGTGGGTCACCTTTATATCAAACACGTCTACAGTACCGTGCAAAAGATTCAGGCATGTGAGCAGATTGTTTAAAGCCATTTATATGAACAATAAGTGTGTTTCTGCTTGTAAAATCACTATATATCATTAGAATAAAAGCAAATAAACATACATACGGTAAAATGTAACAATAATTGCTTGTTTTTAAAAAAGTATGAGTTTAGTTCCAGATTTGTCCAGGACGCCTCCAAACATTACTAAATTCCATCAGCAGCACCTGATTTAACATAATGAAGTATTGATTAGATGAAGCAGGTACTGGATGACAACTACGAATAATACTGGGCCACTTTGAGGAGAGGGCAGGAAATGGTTAAACCAACACATCTACATACATATAATAACTGCTATTAAATATGAAATAACTTTTTCAATGTTATTTGTGTGTGTGTATATATATATATATATATATATAGAGAGAGAGAGAGAGAGAGAGAGAGAGAATTTTTCTGAGCAAAGAAACTCTTATTGACCAGATTTTAAATCTAGTTTCCTCTGGTGCTAAAACTTTTGCACAGTACTGTACATTTTATGTCCCACATTTTCCAAAGTAAGAACTGTTGGAAGTGAAAGCAAAACTCTGACTGGCTGACTAAAATATATAAATGGTGTCCTGTTTCTTCAGAAACTCCTGCAGTTGCATTTGCTGAGTTCTCATCAATTTCTGTGAGTAAACGCAAAGTTAGGCAAAAATCCATTTCCTTCCTCATTTCTATTTGGGGCTCTTTCACACCAATGTTTTCAGCGCCCATCTGCTCAAACCATAAATCCATAAAGGATTCAAGCAAAAACTTTACTAGGTCACTAGTAAAAAGTGATGGTTCTTCAAGGAGTCTTTAGTAAAGACAACAGTTCTATATGGCACAAAAAATAGGGTTCTGCTATTGTCAGGGGGGCTTTATGAGTGGGGGAGGGGGGGTTTAGGATGATTCTAAGGGCCTGTGACTGATATGGGCCCTAAAAATGATTAGAACATCTGATTTTTAATCCAATTTTAAATTATTAACCTATCATCAATAATATAATATTGTATGCACCAATAAAACTATTGCCTACTTTTTCTTTTCTTGTTTTTGGCAAAAGGTAAACATCCAGGGACCCTCTGTATTTGGGCCTTTAGCACATTTCTTATAGAGGGTATTAGTCTTGCATCAAATAGTGAATTCCACTGTATGCAGAACGTTGCATGCATGTCTGCACAGCGTTATATTTTCAGGTTGGCATGCCTGAGGGGGAGGGGCCCAATGTGATATCTTTTCACGGGGCCCAAAATCCATGGTGCCACCCCTGGCTATTGTTATGATGTCAAGCTTGTAACAACAGTAGAACCCTTTCTGGTGCTATATAGAACCATTTTCAAAAAGGTGCTCTATAGAACCGTATACAACATATTCTCCATCATTATACACCATGAACTAAAATGTCCCAGTAGCATATGGGAAAAAATACAGATGAGTCGTAAATAAATCAATAACAAATTTATGGAACTTCAAACATGAAAGATTCCATGCTCAGCCATGTAAAGCATACCCTCCAATAAATAAACCTGTTGGGTGCACTGTTTATTAATATGACATCAGTTTGTTTATGGTGGAATATTCTTAATATTCTTGAGCAGTAAATATAACATTTAATAGCCAAATTTGGAATCTAATTTGATAAAACTTTAAACGTTTTATAACTATAACTTCAATAACTACTTGTAGCACCGTTTTTAATTTTGTATGGCATAAAATAGTTTTTTTTTGCTTGAATGTCTGTGTAAATCTGTGACGTGAGCTGTGTTGGTGTGGAATAACCCTTTTACTCAAGTTTCTGTGTTTCTTGGCATAAAAGACCCTTTTTCTGTTTCCTCTTACTCAGAATTCTGGCCTTGTCGAGGAAAATGAAATCATCTATTCATCTGTTAAATTAGGGTAAACTTTAAATTAATTACACCAGTGTTTTTCTTTCTTTCTTTCTTTCTTTTCTTTAAGCCCTGTCAGTGATTTCAGACAGGCACAGTGACCAACATTGCCTGTTCTAGAAAAGTAAAACAAGAAGTTGGGAAACTGTGGTTTATTAATGCAAAAATGAAAAAAAAAAATGTCAGAGCCAACGATGTCTTCTTTCTGTGCGCATTAATAAACCAGGGAAGTCTCCACTATTTTAGACCAAAACAAAGTATAATTGCTATATTGGAAAATTAAATATATAATGCATTTGAACACTAACAGATTTACAAGTACCTGCTGGTGACTCTAATTATTTGTATGCGGTGCAAATGAATGCATTCTAGTTTCTGTTCTTTCAGAAAGGTTTGTCTTATATAAACAGCTACAGCTTATCCAAAACACAGCAGCTCAAATGATCACTAAGACAAAGTAAACTGAATATATTACTGCAGCATTAAGATCCCACACTGGCTCTCAGTTACAGAATTGATTACAAAATGCTGCTGTGTCTATAAATTACTCAGTGACTTACAACCAAAATACATCTCTGAACTACTAGAAGAACATAAACCTAGCAGGCCTCTCAGACCACTCAGACTGAGAATGCAGACAACTAGAACCAAGCAGCGAGGCAGAACAGAGTTCTACTGCTGCCCAAAGCTGGAACCAGCTGCCAGATGAACTCGGATAGATCCCAAATCTGACCAGTTATTCTTTCCCATGCCTTAGCACTTTGCACTTCTCCTTGATTTTGTATATACAGTTGTATGCAAGATTTTGAACATCATTGTCAAATTATGTTACAACAAATTATATTGTTGATTTTGTGAGTGGAAAAAAGTTAACACATCCTCTTCAGGGAACACACTTAAATATGACATTTTTCTGCAAACTTCATTAGTGCATAATTTCTATTCATTTGCTGAGTTTAACATATTGGAAAAAAATCAAACATGAAATATTAAATGTACCATAATTTTTGCACAGACCACATTTTATGTTTTGGGTTTTTCCACCAATTAAATTCAGTAAATAAACAGTAACTGTGCACTAAAATGTGCAGAAGTGTGTTCTCTGTGGAAGATGTGTTATTTTCAAATCAACAAAATATGGGCATTTGACTAGGGGTGCTCAAACTTTTGCTTCTGACTACATCTAATTTATGTCTTATATTTTCTTCTTATGGAATTATCTCTGTGTGAAAAGATGTGAAATCTACTAAGTTTACTTAACTTGCCTTGTTTTGCTTATAAAAAATCAAGTATTATTAAAACGTAACATTATTATTTGTGTTGTATTTTTCTGCTTTTCATTCTTATATAAATTTGAGAATTCTATATTTCGCTGTTTAGTCTGTATTTCACAATTATTCAGTTTTAGCTGTTCACCCTGTGGAAGTCAAGTAGGCAACACAAAAGTAGGCTGGAATAAATAAACAGTAGTCTGTAGTTCACACTTATTCAGCTTTAGCGGTTTGAGCCGATGCATGCTCAGCTCTTCCTGTCGCAGCCACACAGCCAGGGTTCAGCGAGTAGCTAAGCGTATGCATCTTTACCACACTGGACAGAAACTGCATTTCTATTTTTTCATAATGGTCTGCAAAAGTTTGAACATGCCCAGTCAAATGATTTCTTCTGAGTGAAACTAAGTTAAGACTTACTCATCTACAAATATGACATTATTTTCTCCACAATTTAATGCACAATTTCTATTTGAGTTTAACATACTGAAAAAATAAAACATTCAAAATGTGCCATGACTTTTGCACAGGCCACATTTTATGTTAATTTTTTTCCCCAAAATGCTAAATTCAGCAAATAAATAGTAATTATGCATTAAAATGAGTAGAAGTGTGTTCTCTGTAGAGGATGTGCTTATTATTAACTTATTATCACTTAGAAAATCATCAAATACATGACCAGAGGTGCCAAAACTTTCACATATGACTGTATTGTTTAATGTCTGTACTCATCAAATTATTTCACTGTTTATTTATTACAGTCTATTTTTTGTACTGCTCTAATATTGTGCTAAGTAGGGCTGCCAAACAATTAACTCTGGTTAATTGCATTTTTGTATTTACTTGTGATGAATCACATTTGTATTATTATGATATGATCTCCACAGAGTGAACACAGTTTCTAATTATCATCACCAATGTCCAGTGAGAGCAACAGTCTCTGCATCTTCCAACCAAAGAGTTATATCATATATATGATTTATACAGTCAATAGGTCTATATATCATATATAGGGCTGGGTATCGTTTTGTGGCAAAAAACCAAAAAAGGATTTTCTTTTTCTATTGCATACCAGGCAGGTATTAGTGTGTTTGACGGCATATCTCTGGATGGGGGCTGATACTTGGGATTTAAAGATTTGTCACCTCTCTGAATAAATAAAAATGTATTCACAAAGCACAGACACATTATTGTAACCACAGTTACAGGTTTGCCACAGAGGGATAAAACAAATCTGTGTATCCCACCTAAACCAGGGACAGCAACAACTGCAATCAAGCGTTTGCAATAATTGGCAATGAGTCTTTTACAGCGCTCCACCAAGCTGCTGCTTTTGTTAGTTTGTTGCTGGTTAATTTATTCATAGTTCTCTCGCGGTGTAGTCTGCTGAAGGCGGCTTCCACACTAACGTTACTGATATTACTGATATTGCTGTGTTTTGCTTATAAATTATACTACAGATTCAACAAACTGAGTAGCTGGAAATAACTTTGGTTTTTATCAAGAGAGCCATAATAGAACTTGCCATATAAAAGCTGTATTTTAGCAAGAAGGCTACAGTTGCAGAGTCATAGCAACATACAACATGAGCAGTTGGTCTTCAGAGTGAGACTACGAATAGAAAGGGTCAGAATAAGAACCGTTTGACGCTACTAGTTAAAAGCAACACACTGCTTTTACTTTTTACACAGATGTGTTGTTTTTTCGTTGCTCCATTCTGAGAGTGTGTTCAGAAACACTGCAATCTGATAGAGTGCAAAACCTCCTTTATCAGTTTAAGGCATTAACGGAACTCCTTCAGCACGTTACAGTGCTAATTTCACTTTATCAGTTGAGTCTTTTTATCAGTAAGATAAAGGCTTAAACAATGTTCAGCCACCCCTCAGAAAGATCTTTCTTTTTAAATAGTTCTTCAAATGAATGATATTTTTAGAGGATGAGTGCTGTTTCCTGTCTGCTGTAGGTGGCCATGGTAAGAGAAAAATCCCCAAATGGTTTATTTGAACTCTGGATGGGTGTTTTAATACTGAAACTCCAATTTGGTCTCTATTAAGCAGCACTCAGTGCTTAAAGCTAGAAACTGGTTTATATGCATTTATATTATATACTACATTGTACAACAGTTAGTTCCGGCCACGCAAGCTGATTGGTTGAGAAGCGTTCTAACCGTGCTGTTATTTCACCATAACATCACGGGTTTATTCACAAACACTGTATCACTCCGCTGAGACGCTGTTGCTAAGCAATGACTTTGGCAGCTGTAAATGGCTCAAGCCATTTGAACGTTTTTACTTCTCACTTTGCCACAAACAGAAAATGGATACTTTTAAGATCACATTTGACCGACAGCCGATTTGGTCAGACTCTGAAGATGAGACGACACTAAATTCCCAAACTGACAGTTGGTCTGTGTGGAGCTGCAGAACGAACTGCTGGCTGTGCAACTAGCTGCGTGTTAAGGAACTATAATTTGGTGAAGGAACTGCGAACATTAAAACATATTAAACGCCGCGTTCACGGCCCAGTTTATTAATTTATTACTTTATTTATTTAACTGTGGTATAAAAGCAGTAGAACACTCGAGGAGTGTGTTATCACCAATAACATCACGGCTGTGATGATCTACGACGACCAAATCACAGCCGTGACGTTATTTCGCAATAACACACCCCTCTCGTGTTCTATTGCTTAACTATATTCTTCTATTACACAACATTATAGTATCAATGTACACACCTTTCCAGGTCATGTTCAGGTAGCATTTAGGAAATTATGCTAACAGGTTATGCTAATTTGTTCAGTGTGAATTCAATAATTTATTCTAGCCATTTTAGACTTCCAGCTATATTTTTTCTGTAATAAAAATTTTTTAAAAAAGATCCTAATATTTCGTAATTGGATGGTAGAGTACGGTTACAAATCTGTCATCACATACAGCCATATACAAAAGTTTCCAGGTTTTGCTGAAGTGAAAATAAGTTAAAGCATCCTCTACAGAGAACACAGGTCTGCACATTTTAATGCACAGTTACTGTTTATTTGCTGCATTTAACAAACTGGAAAATACACATAAAATATGGTTCGCGCAAAAGTAATGGCACATTTTGTACTTTATGTTGTATTAACTCTGCAAATAAACAGAAATTATGTACTAAAATTTGCAGAAAATGCCATATTTAAATTTAGAGATATGTAGATTAATTTGACCGTGGGTGTTCAAACATACACATACACATCCAATCATAATTCATTCACTGCTATTTCATTTTTTAATGTGCCTGATTAACATTAGCCACATTGCTCCAAGATTTCCCTCATGAAATTATGTCATCTATATGAAATGTTTCTGTTGTATGCAGATTTTGCCTCAAAAACATTATGGATTGGTTTTGCAGACAAGTTTTAAACCTAGTGCTGGACTACGTTTCCTTCTGAATGAGGTTCTCTGATGAAAGTAAAATGTATTTCAATACTAGGCCTAATCTCTGACCAGGAAACTGACCCTATGAGTGTAATATTAGCCTAATATATTCACTAACTTGCTAACAATTGCACTACCATCAGTAATGAGGCTGAAAAGAGACAGTCTACATCAAGGTTTACATCACTTCCTCCAACATAAAGCTGCAACAGGGCAGCAGTGCCCTCCAATGACACATGCCAGGATTTATCAGTTAGACTACTAAACTACTCAGATCAATCTGTCCAGTTTTATCTGAAAAGGGCTAATGTGGCTCCAGGTTTCATTCCGACAAAGCAGGAGAACATGTGAACCACTGTTTGAAGACTGAGACCAACAGATTAAACAAGCAGAAGCAAATGTGATCCAGCTTGTTTGGAATGAAAACCTGCAGCCACACCAGCCCTTCGCGGATAAGACTGGACACCCTTGACTTGGATGATCCATTTAAAGTAGGTCTTTGATTTGGAATCTGCATTGTCTGAATCTGATTAATTAATAAAGTCTTCTGTTGCATATAGCAAGTACTTTCAGTTTTCATATTGTAACTGATTCACATTCTTTTCTTACTTCATGTTAATCTTCCCAGTGAAACTTCAGTTTGGTTGAATGTGGTTTGTTTCAGTAAGCTGCGGTACATTTCTGATCATCAATTATAAGATTAATAATAAAAAACTATAATCAGTGGCCCCATGGGATTTCTAGCTCCTGATTCATCATCAGAACCTTCTTCCTCTTTCATTCCTTTAGTGACATCTAGTGTTGGTAACCACACTTTTCATGTTTTATAAAAACCCAATTTGACACAGAAGTGAACAAGAATTGATCACTTATATGATCAAAAACAGAAATTCATGCAGATTCAGATTTTTTACGAATATTCTAAAAACATTATTTGATGTCAAATGATTCATCTTCAAAGTGATTGCACTACAAAGTATGTGGAAAAATAAGTGTACAGTGATGTAATCTCCACAGAGTGGTACGGAAAGCTCAGTGTGTCACTGTCATAGGATGCCACCTTAGAGGTCGGTACAAGCATAAAATTGAAGCCCAAACTCAACCTGCATCCATGACTAGC